AAGCAATAAAAAGATGGTGATAAATTACAGAAAACTGATATTGACAAATTTACACAAAAAACAGGAAGACTACAGAAGCTAAGGGAAATCCACATCGTCCTTATGCGAGTTAATCATGCAACTTTGTGCGAAATTAGAAATATGCTATAATTATTAGACTGATTTATTGAAACTGTTGTCGTCACATTGATTGTTATAGTTTACAAGGTTTCAGCTGTTGTACTCTGGACTTCGTCAGCGGCTTATCATTACGTTTTCGGGATTTCAAATTGGACACTTTATTCGATTGTTAAAAAGTTATCGGCATGACGATTAACTAAATCTGTAAGCAAGGCCTCTGATCAACAGATTGCATTATATTTATAATAAAAAGGTTTATATATATATAGGGTGTCCATAAAGTTCATGTACACTTTAAAAAATTTATAACTTTATTTGTATTTGCGATAGAAATAATCTGTAAAAAATGTTATAAAATGTAATGTACCTAGTTTTAAGTATAGCTAAAATAACTAATGTGATTTCAGGCGTTACTGTAAATCAGTTGGTAAATGTTTTCCTTGAACTGCAAAATCGTATTACCCTTTGTTTTGCTATGTGGACATGTGGAAACCTAAATAAAATTTCAATAAAACCATTAAAAATATAGATTTACTTTTACCTAATCTTTTTTACAAATTATTTCTATCGCAAATACAAATAAAGTTATAATTTTTTAAAGTGAACACGAACTTTATGGACACCATATATATATATATATATATATATATATATATATATATATATATAAATAAATGAGTAGTAATATATTTTTATAAAAATGACAATCAATACAGTACTAAAATATAAAAATACATTTTTATAGCAAAATTACCGGAAATATATTTTATAATCAACAGACTATATAATAAAAAAAACGTACGGTTACCCTGAAAGTATAAAATTATGTACAAGTTATTTGTCATTGAAGCCATAAAATTGCGAACAAAATATTTAGATTTCTGCATTAAATAAATGTAACAGAGAATCAGGTCCACCAGATAAAAGACTCCGAGTTGGTTTCTTGTGGTGCTGTAAGCAGCAAGAGTTGCGTCCCCTTCCATAATAGGCCATAAGCAAAGTCCGACGTTGACCAGTTACAGCCTTTGCTACGGATTTATTTATGGCGTACAAACATCCCATTGGGGAAGAGAATGCAACTCCTGGTACTTAAAGTAGTAGATACAACCAACTTGGGACCTTTTATCGGGTTAACCCTATTCTCTGTTACATTAATCCATAGAGGTGTTGATGTGCCGGTAATCAAAATCAAGCCATCAAATTAATCATTTTCTATGCTAGAGGATATTTCATTCGGATAACAAGATTAATATATCTACTTAAAATACATTTATCGTCAACGCTTGTTTTTTTTCTTTGTTTTGTTTTGTTTTGTTTTTTTTTTTTTTTTTTTCTTCGGAAAGTGGGTGGAGTTGTAGTTTCAACACTCATATGCTTTGAAAAAAATACCATTCTACAGGATCTCCCTAATCTATATGTTTTTTTACCTTCGCAGATTAAACATATCTCTTTTACTAAATAAATTCGGTCAGTCAGTTGTACGGTTTTACACGAGTAACTGTGATAGATGAGGAATTCTTTGAAATAATTATTTACATTCTTTTTCAGAAACTTAATATACAGTGACCATTAAGTCCACCATATTTTTTTCATTTTGTTTCCAAGTGAACCTGAAACACGCACATATATACGCATTCACTATATACACAGATAAAACCACACATATACTCACACGCACACACATATATAACCAAACAAGCAATAAAAGATGGTGATAAAAGAATGTCTCTAAACTTTGCACACATAGGAAATATCACAACTCTATAATTTTACCTCCACATATTAAATATGGTTTTGTCGAAAGAAGAAAGAATTGACTTCTTTTTTCCTGGGGTATGCTAATCGAGAAGGTGTACTCAAGGAAGATCACAGATGCTACACACTTGATTGAACGCATAAATATTGAATTTGCTAAAAATGACGGCTATGTGGAGATAGTGCATCGAGTTCACGTGAATCTTGCAAAGGGCATCAACCTTTAAACCATAAATGATAGAAATCATATTGAATATATAACATACATGCACACACACACACACACACACACACACACACACACACATTCAATAAAGATAAAATACGGATATCATTCCTGGAGTGTTAATATTAGGTTGGTGCAAAAATAATGACGTAATAATGTCGTTTTTTGACGTTAAAAAATACATAAAAAACGACATTATTACGTCGTTATTTTTGCACCAACCTAATAAATTGTACACTTTAATTATTAGGTTGGTGCAAAAATAATGTCGTTTTTGATGTATTTTTTAACGTCAAAAAACGACATTATTACGCCATTACTTTTGCACCAACCTAATATTAACGTTAACAACGAACTATTTTAAATAACAAAGTCATACTTGGATTAAACGGAAATTACGTAATATTCTTAATATTCCAATTCAATAAAATGTTGTTGAAAATTTAATTTCTTGAAAATATGCATTTTTGCCTATGTGTCCAGATTTTAGGGACACTGATGCCTCGCCGTGAAACACTGACGAGCAAGCTAGAAAAATATCTTTTAAAATTTAACTTCATCCATTATAAATTTTAAACAAGCTACATTGAATAAATATTAGGCACAATTAAATGGGGAAAATTCTGAGGGATGATGTCCTTTATGTTAAACTTTATCATATGATTAATTCGTATGCGGTAATTAAGCCTCTCACTGAAAGGGAAGAACATGTCGTTTGTCAAACAAATGGAAGAGGTGACAAGATTCTAGCCAATAATATGAATCAAATATAATTTTTTTTTAAGACGCGCATGCGTAAAATCAGAAGGAGACAGTCTTACATTTCTTGAATGTATAATGAACAGTGGGGTGATAAATGTTGCCTAGAAATACAAAGTGTAGGAAGCTGTGAGAAGCCATGGTCACGTTCGCAAGAACACGGTACATAAAAGAAGATTGTTGAAAGAGACAAATCATCATAAATAAATAAAATAATTTCATTAAATATCTTCCTCGTATTTGGAGATAATAGAGTGACAATAAATAAATTAAATACATTATCGTTGATAACTGGAAATTGGTTGTCGACTAAAAATGCTACCAGATTGTGACAGATTAACTCGAGTTTACGTTCAGTTGTTTACACTTTATTTCACTTCACATTGTTTAAGCTAGTTGGTATGATTATCGTATAAGCTAGCCGTTATAATGAACGTATAAGCTCATAATTTACGGTTAATAATATTGTAATCAGAACACTGGAACAAAAGATTGGTAAAGAAAACACTTAATCACATGAGGGACATGGATTAATAATACAGTAATAGTGAATACCGTAGTTCAGTGCCGCAATGCGTAAGACTCAACGCTACGCCTTGCGACAAACTTAGCAAACTCTGTTCCTATTGTAACACTACTTAACATGGCGTACGGACGAAAAGTGTTCAAAAGACGATTTTTTTTTGTCAGAAAGGGATTCAATTTTCCCTGGATATTGAGAACAGGATGAAAAGTTACACAATGCGATGCTGCCTAGCGAGAGCCAGTGAACAGGTGCAGGCTTAGGGGCCAAAGGTTAAAGTCGTCTGTTGAAAGGTGTCCGAAGTATACGCGCTGAGAAAATTGTCAGCCAAAATTTTCCTGAGAAAAAATTATAATTGTGAGCAGTTATAAAGGCAAAAGGTGACGTCAGGAAGGCTAACATCATATAATGGCTCCTCCCGAAAGAGGAGGAGATCTTCCAAAATTGGAAGTGTGAAATAAAAAACGAAAGAAAGAGACTGGTTGAATTTTAGGAGATTTGCATAAAACCCAATTATTCGCCCGCACCACACCAAATGGAAGGGACACGCATAAATACAAGTGCCCACGAGGCAGTCGGAGGCAGTTGCCGTTGGAGTTGCAGCCGGAGTGAAGTGGCGACGGGAAGTTAAGAGATTTCTGCCATAACGCTGTTTTGCCAACCTAATGATAATAATAATTATCTGCTGAAAAAGAAAAACTGCGCAGAAATCCTTGTGCCGTCCGTGAAAGTAAAATCAACAGTACTTGAATTTAAAACCAGTTGTCGCTAAAGAAAGACTCCAACGATAAACCTTGTGCCGTTCTAGAAAGTACAAACCACAGTACTTGAAGATAAAATCCAGTGGTCAAGTCTGGTCACCCTTAAAGAAGTTACCCAAAATTTTCGTTCAGTCGCCAAATATTAGAGCGGGTTGTGAAAAGAAGAAAAGAACAAAAATGAACTGTGAATATATATATATATATATATATATATATATATATATATATATATATATATATATATATATATAAACATCATATAAGGACTTATTCAGGCGTCGTCTATTTTATTTTCAATTTTGTGTGCGCGTATTCAACTCCTTGGTTTAACTTGGTTGAGATACCCCAGGGATAATTCAGGTTGACTCTCTTAACATCACAAATCACAACGTGCGTAAGAGAGGTCATAGTTGAAGAGGTCAACTTAAAGACCAGCTGCTGTGCCAAACGCCATCAACGACCGACGAGTGTGGGCTGACGGCTTGTTCTCCGATATCAGGATCGATCCTGACCAGGGCAAGCAGGACGCGGTTCCGGCCACGCCGCAATAATCTGGTTGCCGAGACAGGGATTTGACCCTGAACGCTACCATAATTGGTAGCCGTGACCAAAGCAGGCAAGCCGTAGCCCGGAATACCGCCATACTATGAGCAGAACTATTACTCATAGTGAATGGACAGTTCTATGTTCAACAATTAATGTAGAGAATGTCGTTCGTCTTTCTACACGATACTGTTTCACTTCACTTTTCAATTCACTTTAGCTCATTTTGCTTAAACTTGTGTAACATTAAAAATCACTTTGTGTATACGTATTTACCGTGCACTTCACTTTGTTTACAATTATTTACTTTGGCTTACGGCCACATCATGTTGAAATACCGGTTCCCGTAAGATTACCATAGTTAAACAACGTCGAGCCTGGTCAGTACCTAGGTGGGTAACCCCTTTGGAATACCAAACGCTGTAAGCGTAGATGCGGATGTGGATTGATAATGGTTGGCAATTGTTAATCGGAGAGCTGATTTCCAATTCCCATTGGGTTCGTTATATTCACTTACGCGCAAATACCATTGCGGAAAGGTATGAATCTACTTCTTATCTCCCCAGTTATGGGTTAATTAGTAAAACTTGTATCACTGAACCATTATTATCTCAAAAATGGCTTACTATCTAAGAATATTTTCTGGCTTTAAATAACCTGCAAAGGGTGGTAAACCGTAGAAAACGAATCAGTCAATCAATAAAAAAAAAATTTCACATTTTACACAGCTCTTCCTTTATACATATTTATCTACACTTTTGATTTCTCCTTGTTTACATGTGTTTAGTTTACACTTCAATTGAATTTGAAGCTGCGATACGCAATTCAGGCAATATTACTTATACTTGTCAGAAAGACAGATGGCTACCAACATTATTATTGTTCGAAGCTGGAAATTCCGAGTTTTTTTTTTTTTTTTGCTTATGACCCAACTGAAAAAAGTGTCTGTTTCTGAAAAAGATAAGGATAAACTAAAATTTGTCTATTAAAAAAACAGAAACTGTCCTATTTCAAGTATTTTGGAATGTCACTGCTCCTTTTATGGTAAGAGGCTGACACCCTTTGAAAGAGAAGCCTCACACAGCAATGGGGAACTATTGTTAAAGTTTTGTTATTCAAAAAGATATTCAATTCATAATACATGATTCGATCATGTCATGAAACACGTCATCATATGGCAATCCTAATAAAGAAATGGTTAATATTGGCATTACAATTATTTCGCTTTGTTTACACTTGATTATTTTACACATCACTTTGTTTATACTTGTTCACTCTACACTTCAATTTGTTCACATTGAAGCATGAAATTGCAATCATGTAGGATCGATTCTCAAGTAGATAGATAGATAGATAGATAGATAGATAGATAGATAATGAAAAGACTGAGATAGAAATGTAGATAGATCATGCAAGACTGATAGATAGAAGATAGATAGATAGATGAATAGATAGATAGATAGATAGATTAGATAATGAAAAGACTGAATAGAAATGCAGATAGATCATGCAGACTGAAAGATGAGGGAAAAAGACTGAGAGATAATATAATGAACAAAGAAAAGAAGAGAAAAGAAAGACTGAAGGGAGAAAAGACTGGAAAAAGACAGATAATGAACAAACAAATAGATAGAAAGATTATGAATAGACTGATAGACAGAGATAGATAAAGAGAGATAGAGGGTGAACAGAATGCTAGACAGATAATGAATAGATAGATAGATAGATAGATAGATAGATATGAACAGACTTAGATAGATAGATAGATAGATAGATCATTCAACCAGAACATCTTATTACTATTCCCCATTTTATTAAATTTTCACATAATTTCCTCCCATCCCCTCCGCGACCATTCTAGAATAATAAGTTTTCTTACTAGAATTTTTTTTAAATATTTTAAAAATTCCAGCCACCCTTTTTTTTAATCAACAACTCCTTTTGAAACGGTTGTGTACCCAACAATGTTTATTTATAATGGCAGGAGCCTTCCCTATCCAGATTCTTTAAAAACGTCAAACTGAATATTTCTGTGTACATTTATGAGATGAAGAATTATTTTTACTATCCTCAGAAGAATTGAAACTGTCATCTTCCTCTTGATATTATGAAGGCAAACAGAATGGCTTTGTTTTATATTACATGTCGCCTTTTCAAGAACGTACGGTTGTAAGAATGCTAAATTCAGATTTTCAAAATTGCGATTATCAAGCCGCCCACGCTAAGATCAGTCGCAAAGGTAAACAGATTTGAAATACAGCAGTAATGTCTCGGATTTGAAAAGATTATGAAGATTTATTTAATTTAGCTTAGTTTGGTACAATACCGCGGATTTGGAGCACCAAGTGAGGATCGTTATTTACAAAGCTTCGCTTAGTATGACACAAGTGTAGAGCACCCGATGAGGAAAGCTACTACCTAAATTAAGAATATCTGTCTATATTTCTGAGATGTGGTATTATGTACACTATTTACATTATTCGGGCTATTGTCCTCATCTTTGTCGCCATATTAATATCGAACTGAACCCTTTATTTCGCTCACTGGGATAGACTGTTCCATTTCTACGTGCCATGTATTTTAATGAATGTCAGTTATCAGTTATCTCCTGTTAATTCCCCTCTCCAAGTTCTCCACTGCCTCAACCTGGTATTGAACTCACACTCTTTGAGTCCATTCACAAACAGTGTACCCCATTGAGCGAAATAATGAGTTCAGTTCGACATTCCAACCACCTGAAGAAGGCCGGAGCGTACAACGGCCGAAACGTTGTAATAAATATGGTGACAAAGGTGAGCACAATAGTCTGAATAATGTAAATACTGTATATTTAGAACAGTTAGGCACAAGTTCCCAAGTGTGACCTGCCCAGTGATCATACATTTTTATCGAGATTAGCTGAGTATGACACAAGGCGATAAGTGTAGAGCACTCAATGAGATATTTACTAAATTTAGTATATGTAGGGAAAATATAGAAATGGAATTATCCAATGAGCATAGTATGACACAAGGCGAATTGTGCAGAGTACATTCTATGGAGAGATATTTCCGAAATTTATCTTAGTAAGAGCACAGGCCACAATTGTGGGGCACCTGTTGAAATTAGGTGTTTACAAATGTTTTATTATTATTAAAGCTTCCATTAAAAGATTAAAAATTAATGGAAGGTTTAATAATAAAAAAAAGCTAACTCTTAACAATATTAACTACGAACAACGCCACAATGTGCTAACCGTATTCGGAAATTAAAACATCCCTACTACACACTAAGAGATACGCATAATGCACACACTCAATTAAGCTGAAAAATCGAATCATCCTTGATAATGGCTAAAGTTATAGCCGAAAACGCTCGGAACTATAAAACATTTGGACAGTTCTTACACACTCTTTGTCCAGAAAAGAAAGCTCTTGTCAGAACACAAGAAAAATTAAATAAAAAGCTTAATCGTAGTACCTTGTCTGTCGTTTTTAATGAAACATGCATAAACGAAGGATTGCTGCCTAAATATACAACTATATATATATATATATATATATATATATATATATATATATATATATGATACCATTGGGAAAGGTATGAGTCCTCTTCTTCTCCCTCCCACCAATGAGTAAATAGCAGACAGACCGGGTTCTATAGTCTTGGATGGCAACTGGTCTATCACAGAAAGAAATTGCAACTTACTGTGGGAAAAAAATCTGCCTCGTCAATCATGTATCGAAAGAAACATGATCACCTGAGCGTGTATCACGCATAGCACATTACTGACTGATGTATTTATTATAACAACTACATGCATGTACATTTATATATACATAGATGTATGTGTGAGTGTGCTTTTGTTTGTGTACGTCCGTTAAGAAAATTGACGTTTACATACCTATATTCATATGTATAGAAATGTATTGTCATGAATATGAATTTAAAAGCATTCAAAATTTAGACAAAACCTCGAAAGACGTTAAATAGGTTTTAAAACAAATAAAACAGGTTTTAAATATTCATAAATAAATGAATAAGAAAGAGTATAACTGTATTCAGTTTCGCATAAGACATTTTCGTATCTATTTCGTAAAAAAAAAAAAACGAAAAGTATAAACTTGATTTCAATTTAGCTTTTCAGCATTTAATATAATTTATTTTATGTTCTTTTATTTACTGGAAAATACTATAAAGGGAGAAGAAAGATGGTGTGCTAGCGGGAAAAGGAGAAAACGTCAAAGATGAGAGGAAAAAAAGAACGGTGGCTGCAGTTAACGTAGAAGTCGCAACAGACATGAGTGAAGAAAGAAAGAAAGAAAGAAAGAAAGATAGATAGATAGATAGATAGATAGATAGATAGATAGATAGATAGATAGATAACAAAAAGACTGAGAGATAATATAGATAGATTATGCTCAGATAGATAGATAGATAACAAAAAGACTGAGAGATAATATAGATAGATTATGCTCAGATAGATAGATAGATAGATAGAAATGGACAGACTGATAGAGAGAGAGTGGGATAAAGAGAGATAATGAACAAACAAATAGATAGATAGATAACAAAAAGACTGAGAGATAATATAGATAGTTTATGCTCAGATAGATAGATAGAATGGGATGAGAAATGGACAGACTAATAGAGAGAAAGGAAATAGATAAGAACAAAAAAATAGATAGAAAGAAAGAAAGAAAGAAAGAAAGAAAAAGGAGAAATATGAAAGATATTCTAGCCAAAAAAGAATAAAAGTAACGAAAGAAAGAAAGAAAGAAAAGGAGAAATATGAATGACAAAAATGGAGTGCAGTAAGAATCGAAAACGAAGAATAACTGTAGTGACGAGAAGAGAGATTAAACAAAGAAAGATAACAAGCTACGCAAATGAAAATGCTGAATTGAATGTTACTTGAAAATATACTTAAAGGGAAAAGGTAAAACTTCGTGGAAAGAAATCCAAAGAAAACAAAAGAACCAAAAAAAGAAAGAAAGAAAGATATTCTAACCAAAAAAGAATAAAAGTAACTAAAGAAAAAAAGAAAGAAACTAAAAAGAAAGAAAGAAGGAATAAAAAAAGAAAAAAGAATAAAAAGTAGCTAACTAAAAAAAGAAAGTAAGAAAGAAGATCCTGTAACGAAAAAAAAAAGAAAACTAAAAAAAAAGAAAGGAGTGATCTTGTAACCAAAAAGTGTAAAAAAAGAAAGATATTGTAGGCAAAAAAACAGTAAAAGTAACTAACTAAAGAAAGAAAGAAAGAAAGAAAAGAAAAGATCTTTTAACCAAAAAGAATAAAAATAACTAAAAGAAAAAAAAAACAAACAAACAAACAAAACAAGAAAAGGAATAAAGAAAAAAGTGATTTTGTAACAAAAAAAAATAAAGGTAACTAACTGAAGAAAGAAAGAAAGAAAGAAAGATAAAGGAATAAATCATAGAAGAAAAAAGTATAAAAGTAGCTAAAAAAATGAAGAAAAAAATTGAATGACCAATTAGGGATGAAACAAAAAATAAATGAAGAACGCATAAAATAAAAGATACGTCCAGAGACGCAGGTGTAACAAGATAAAGAGACTGAGACACGATTTCCTTATTTGGAGAAAAATATTTGAAAAAAAAAGCAGCTGCGCGTTTCTTGATGCAAATCGTTGAAAGTCGAAGAATGAAGGAGAGGCGTTTTCGGCAGGTCGGAAAGAAAGATGGACAAAATGAAGACGAACGAAATACGATCTAATGCCACAAATGTTTTACTTTCCGAGGTTTAGATATTTGCAGTCAGATTCGCTGTGGAGGTCTAGTAAAAAGAAGAAAAAAAAGAAAAAAGATAGTAATGGAGAAGAAAAGAGTGAAAAAATGGTGATAAATAGAGTGAGAGAAAAATAGGAATAAATGGTTATAGATAGATAGATAATGAACAGACTGGAATAGATAGATAATGAACAAACTGGAATAGATAGATAGATAGATAGATAGATAGATAGATAGATAGATAGATAGATAGATAATGAACTGACTAGAATAGATAGATAATGAACAAACTGGAATAGATAGATAGATAGATAGATAGATAGATAGATAGATAGATAGATAGATAGATAATGAAGAGATTGGAATAGATAGATAATGAACAGACTAGAATAGATAGATAGATAGATAGATAGATAGATAGATAGATAGATAGATAATGAACTGACTAGAATAGATAGATAATGAACAAACTGGAATAGATAGATAGATAGATAATGAACAGACTGGAATAGATAGATAATGAACAAACTGGAATAGATAGATAGATAGATAGATAGATAGATAGATAGATAATGAAGAGATTGGAATAGATAGATAATGAACAGACTAGGATAGATAGATAGATAGATAGATAGATGAATGATAGATGAATAGATAGATAATGAAGAGATTGGAATAGATAGATAATGAACAGACTAGGATAGATAGATAGATAGATAGATAGATAGATAGATAGATAGATAGATAGATAGATAATGAAGAGATTGGAATAGATAGATAATGAACAGACTAGGATAGATAGATAGATAGATAGATAGATAGATAGATAATGAACAGACTAGAATAGATAGATAATGAACAAACTGGAATAGATAGATAGATAGATAGATAGATAGTCCATCTCATAGACTGATTGTCAACCAATGCTCCAGATCTCCATGTGCCCTGCTATTTAACCCCTCGTTTTGATGAACAGAAACATCAAAAATATAAATAAAAAAAACATTGCTATATCAGTTTTGACTGCTTCAGATTAGTGATAGCCATGGGAAAACTCTTGGATGTTATTCGTTATAATTCAATGACTTTTTTTTTCAATCCAAAGAGAAATATTAATTAATTCTTAACTTGTAGTATGAGTTGGCTTACAATCCAGGAATCCGTTAACGTCTTTGAGGCCAATAATCTTACTTAATAGATCGTGTTCCGATAAGCTAATTTAAATGTGACGTGAACTTAATACGAAGTATGAGTATGATGCGTGTGAGAAATGTGAAACCAGCTCAACCGCAACACATACATACAGACACACACACATACATATGTATGTGTGTATGTGTGCGTGTGCATTTTTTTCAGATAGAGTTATCTATAAGGAAACAAATGAATAAAAAAACAAGAGGAAAAACTATTATTAGCCGACGCGTTTCGTCCTCTGGGGTACTTTATCACAAAAATGTAGGATTTATTTTGTTGCATGTGTTTATGTACAAAAGCAAGAGTGTTATTGGATTATTAACGCTTTTAAATTTGAGAAAGTTATTGAATATTCATCAGGTGATTGAAAGGTCAGTCAAAACTTATGGGAGACACAAAGTGTCATAATTCAAATTTTGCTAAAAAGTAAGCGCGTAATATTCAAGAATTATTTTTAATAAATATATATACAGAGTGCGAAGTATAAATTGTCGTTTAAATTACGCAAAAATGAAAATAACAGTGACATTTCATTTTAACAGATATATTTATCAAAAATATTTAGAAATAATAAAGAGTAAATTTATTTAATGAAATCGACCTACAGAGGACTTCGGAATCTATTTTCAAGAAATTAAATTTTCAACAACATTTTATTGAACTGGAATATTAACAAGTAACATCTTCAATATGATTTCTATCATTTTTGATCCAAAAGTTGATACACTTTGCATGATTCAGGTGATTTCGAAGCAATATCTCCATATTGCCGTGAATTTTAGCACATTCACTCTTTATGCGATGTGTAGCATCTGTGATCTTCCTTGAGTATACCTTCTCAGTTACCATACCCCAGGTAAAAAGAAGTCAATTCTTTCTTCTTTCAACAAAACCTTATTTAATATGTAGAGGTAAAATTATAGAGTTGTGAGATTTCCGATATGTCCAAAGTTTAGGGACAGGCTGTGTATTATTTAATGGTCTCCTGTATTAAGTTTTTGAAAAAGAATGTAAATAATTATTTCAAAGACATCGTCATCTATCACTATCGTCAGTCGGAGATTCTACTCTTAAGTCGTTGTCGCACGGCAGGGATGAAAGTGAATTTAACCGTATTTATTTTTAGATAAACACAGTGACTTAGAGAACTCGATTCGCTCTACCGAAGAGCCTTGCCTTATTAGCAGATATAGTTACTGTTTACAAACTCATACTTTCTCTCCAGAGAGCTCAACCAGAATATTTTTTTCAGGAGTATATATATTGTCATCCACAGACTGTTTCGCTATATCACAAGCTCATCAGTTTGGCTAGACGTCCGGTTGCCTCTAGCCAAGATCGAAACCCGGTTGAATTGGTGTTAATCAGAGATTCTACTACTATTATTGTCATCACCATTATTATTATTATTATTATTATGATTGTTATAAATTTTATATAGGCGTTGCACAATATTTTTAAAAAGGGAAATTAATTTATAAAGTTTGCGACCTATCAAAAAAATTACAGTATTTATATATATATATATATACATATAAACAGCAGCTTAAAACTTAGTGTCCACCTAAAATCAATTAATAAAAAGAGAGACAGTCCTGAGCAACAAATATAAACCCGCTTTCAGTATTTCAACAATTGGACAAATCATCCCTTGTTTTTCGATTCCAGTTTTCGTCAGTATTCGATAAGTCTCACTGTTTGTTCACAAGTATACAAAATACAAAAGGAACGTAATGGCTAGAAATGAAAACGTGAATCCTGTTTCTGGGAATCTTATTTGGTTATTTTATGCACTGATTCTCTTGGCATTTGAGATATTCGAACTTTGATATTTGACACTTAATATCACAACAGACTAACGGGGCAGTTCTTCCATTTCTCCCATCAACCTTCTGTTCATCTCTACATCACAAGACGTGGATTATAACACACCCACTGGTAGTTTGGAACTAACCTACATCTCGCATCGGAAGTACCCACAGTTTCAATTGTGACTTTATTTAAGTTTACGACTGGAACTCCGTAACTTCTGGCCAAGTGGCACTTGATGCCGAAAGTTTTCATTTATTTATTAATTTTCTTTCGACCGTTTTGAGGGTTTCCTTCAAACTTGTAAGTAAAAAAAGTCATAAAAAGGCCGCACTTCGAGCCCAGATAAATCAAAGTTCACTTTGTGGATGTTCTACGCCAATCGAGTGGTTCACACAACTGCAGAAAGAATTAACGAACAAACCCGGCAAGTTATTCCGGCTCTTACGAGTGGTTTACTCTCGCGGGATTTCTTAACATTTTTATGTTGTCCGAACATAACCTGGATTAAGTAATCAGAAACCATTTTTTTATCTACATTGGTGAATATAGTGCCAGTAGCTTGTAACGTAATGAGCAAATTTTTAAACAGAAATTTTAGATTTATTCCGGCTGAGTTGAATAGATACCAATGAATTAGTTTCATTGAAAAGTAAGAAGATTATATTTCAAAATAAACAATGCTTGTGTAAAATAAACGTTTTTTTTTGTAATTAAGCTGCGTATATATTAATATGTTTACATATATACTAATTTCATTAACTCTACATTATACAAAACTCATTAATTCTTCATCTATATGAATTTCAGTAATTCTACATTATAGGAAATTCAATAATTCTACATCATAGGATTTCAGTAATTCTACACTATTGAAACTTCAATAATTCTACATCATAAAAGTTTCAATAATTAAATATAGACGTTTCATTTCTTCTATATTATAGGAATTCCAATGGTTCTACATTATAGGAATTTCAATAATTCTATATTATATGTTTTCAATAATTCTAATTATACTACTTTCATTAATTCTTCATCGTAGGAATTTCAATAATTCTACATTATATGAATTTCAATAATTTAACGTTACAGGAATTTCAATGATTCTACATTATATGAATTTCAATAATTCTATATTATAGGAATTTCAATAATTCTACATAATAGGAATTTCAATAATTCTACATCACAAGAATTTCAATAATTCTATATTATAGGAATTTCAATAATTTTACATTTTGGGAATTTCAATAATTCAATATTATATGAATTTCCTTTATTCTATGTTATTGGTATTTCAATAATTCTACATTATTGGATTTTCAAAAAGAAATTCTACATTATACTAATTTAATTAATTCTTCATCTATAAGAATTTCAGTAATTCTACGTTATGTGACGTCCTTGTCGCAGCGCCAGCTGTGACGTCCTTGGTCGCGGCGTCAGCTGCGACGTCATTAAACACAGCCTTCGCTCGCTCCTCGCTGCTCCGTTCGGGTGTCGCCGCTCCAAACGTGACGTCCGCCTGTCGCGTCAGTCGTGTTGTCTCGTCCTGTGACGACCAACTGGCTTGGTATCGGTCGCGGCACCCAAATGTGCCGTTCTAACCTTTTGGTGATTCCGATGGGAATCTGGTTAGATTCAATATCAGCCTCGTCGTTCCCAACTCGCTTCTAACGCCTGGTTACCAAAGTAACTGCATTGATCTCCAGTCTGCCTACCCACGTTGTGAATTGATCTTAGGCAGACGAGATCAATCAGTAGTTGGGGCCGTAATGCAAATCGGGTTCAAACGGGGGTGACACCGCACAAATATGCATAAAAGAAAATAAAATGATAACTCAAAAATTCAAGGTATCAAAAAAAAAAAGATAACAAACTTTATGTCTAGTTGTTGGATACATAGGACTGCGTCTATTTCCCGACCCGTTCTATGGATTGTGACACGTTGTTTTCCGTTAGGCGAGTTTTAACGCTTCAAGTTGTTTGCTCTTTAAGAAATTGGTTTTTCGGTGTGTCTTCGGGCGAAAGTCGAAAAAAAACTTATTTTGGTGGTCTGGATCTAAGTCGCTCTTCAAATTAATTGTTCTTAGATTGAAGAGGAGTCCGGAATTTGCGTAAATCTTTCAAGTCAGCTATCTGCGAGGTAGAACCAACTTCCACTGCGAACTTCGAACTCTCTGCTGGAACTGGAACTGAAACTCTAACTGAAACTGAAACTGATTTCTGTTCGCTGCGACTTCGCTTATATGGACGCCGACCAAAACCGGGGTGTCTTTGTCGCAGGCTAAAGATGTTCTGTCGAAAGAAATCGGTCAGTGGCCACCTCGTGTGCGGCTTTTGACACAATTAATTTTCATATCTATCCAAAGCCCTGTAGTCCACCTGTTTTCGTCACTTATCAAAAATAACATTTTATTTGGATTTTTCTTTGGCTAGTCGGTCTGTGGTTTGCCAATCAGATGCCTTCCCGCATCAGCGGTTTGTTTATGTATCCCGATAACACAGCCCGTCGTCAGAACACACCCGATTCCTTTATCCACTCAAATTTTTTTTTTTCATTGTAATGACACTCTTCGCCATTTGTTATTTATCAAAATATCCTTTATCCATTGTCTCTTAGGCGTGGGTGTTCTGCTTATCATCCACACTTTGGGTCTTCGCCTCTCTTTTCCTTTCTTTCCTTTCTTTTCTTTTTCTGGCTTGGTAAATGGTGCCACAGTTATATGAATTTAATTCTTCATTGTACGAATTTCAATAATTCTACATTACAGGAATTTCAATAATTTTACGAATTTATAAAATTCTACATTATACGAATTTTAATAATTCTACATTTGTCTCAGTTTCAGTGACTTGGAGAAAACAGTAAAGGTGCAAATTTAGAATAAATGTGCAAAGTGTTAAGCCGATAATCAGGTACAACAAAACGGGTATTAGTTCGATTCAGCCATTAGTAGAACATGTATAAACAACGCCGAGCAGAAGCTCAATGTGAGGCGGAAGCTTTTGATTGAATATACTACCGGCACGCATGCGCACAATTCATTTTATTTATCAGCCCGTCTACCTCTTTGGAAGATCCATCTGTTTATTTGTTTTTCAGGGATATCTTATTGATTAACCTCCACGCATCTAAAGTTATTTTTTTTTTATTTTTTCTCAATATTTTGACTCTTTTAACGTTCTGGCATCACAGAGTTTGAGAATAAACGAAATTCTCACTGCATTCAGCATGCATAGCTTTTTAGGTTTGGTGCAAATTTGCTTATGACACTGGTAAAAAAAGAGCTAGTTACTCCGTTTCGCATTGGCTATAGTAACAAGTCAAAATGAAAGAGCGCTCAATAAATTTAAAATTCCTCACGTTATCAATAGTCAAATAAAGTAAATTGTTAAACATCACTCGAAAAGGCTGTTATATATCTATACTAGAAGCATGGCCCGGCGTTGCCCGTGCTTGATTCAAAAATCGTACGACTCATACAGCAATCGCTATCACTTGACTTAAAATATTTTTGCTCTTCCTTGCCGTTAAAGAAGCGCCCTTTTCCGTGCTGATGTTGCTACATGCCTTATTTCTTGCCTATCTCACACTGCGAATTTTTTCTAAGTTCTATACTAAACATTAAATCTGTTACGGAAAAAGAACTAAACAAAATGAACACAAAACGATCAGCTTTAAAAAAGGGACTCGTAACTGGAAAAACCGAATGAAAAAAACAGTTAACAACAAATACTTTTTCACACCCAAACCCAGTTCTGCGGAATCAGAATCAACGTTAAGTTTAAGCAAGCGAATGAGCCAATTGGAGAAAAGTGCCATGCAGATTTAAATTTTTCCCACTTGTGACGAATGCAGCTATCGATTTTTTTTTTTTTTTTTTGCATACTAGCATGCTAGTTAACATTCGTGTCAGCCAGCTGTTGGCTCTCACTCTGGCCAGTACAAAATGGCCGCAAACTACATAAAAACTGACGTAGAAACATGAAAAAATCGATTATTTCCACTGTCGATGGGAGTTGGGAAATGCAATGTCGGTCTTGGTTTTCCCGCTAACTTGGAGCATGTGCATATAAATTTTGGTGCAAATCCGTCAAAAATTGCGGCCGGGCATTCGTTACACACACACACACATCCTACCTTTTATAGATAGAGATTTTTATGCGATATCCTCTCAGGATTTAGGCGACTATGGTACTTCACAGATAATTTTTTGAAGGAAAGCTATAAGAAAACACTAAACATCAACTGCAGCAAGACACAATGTGTAGTTGTTAGCAAATGGGTGAGTCCAAAGTTCTAATTGCAAATTGGAGATACCAAGATCAAACAAGTGCGGAAATTTAAATACCTTGGATGTATTTTAATAGAGGACAGAAAGCGTGACGCCAAAATCCGAGGACCTACTGGAATAGCTAAAGCGGTCCTCCCAAAGCTAAACAGAGTACTTCGAAAAACTTCGCTAGAAACAAGGAAATGAATACTAAACTCTTACATGATATCTGTCCTCTTATATAGCAGTTAATGCTGAACAATCTTCTCAAAGATGAAGAAGAAACTTGAATCAACAGAAATGTAGTTCTACAGAAAGATGCTGAGGATACAATGGATAGATTATGTGAGAAACGACGAAGTTTTAGATAAAATGAAAACAAAAATAAAAACCGAACCTTAACAAAAGGAAGAAACAGTTGACATTACTAGGGCAAATAATGACGAAAGAAGGCTTAGAAAATTTGATACTCAGAAGTCGTATTGAAGTCAAGAAGGACAAAGGAAAAAAGGACATAGTATACTTAAATGAATAACGGAATAAGTTTTAAGAAAGATAACAAAAAGATAACATTTATCAAGAGCTACAGAAGATAGCAAATTGTGAATAGTCATCATCATCAGCTTCTAGATGAAGAGTGTACGTGGCTAAACGAAGATTACGTAATATGTATAATGAATACTTAGCTTTGATGTATAAATCATTCAGATAAAACCGTTATTCACAGATGAGTCAAAGACCTCGCACCACGGGAAGAGATGTATTCATAAATGAAGACAAAATGAGCCCTTTTATTCTATCTGTTTATACCTCGATTTTCTTAGACGTCTCTACTATTCTGCTACATTCTTTCACTCTACCTCTCCTTTCTCTAGCTTTTTAATCACTTCCATTTCAAGTGCTCCCTGTCTCTCTCTCTCTTTATTTCTTGTTACCCTTCTCTTTTTTTCTTTCTTTCACTCTCTTTTTTTCTCACCTCTTTTTCTCACACTGTTCCTTTCGTTTGCTTCAGCTAATTCTCTTCTCTTCAATATTTTCTCGATATATCTTCAAGCATTCTTTATTTATTTATTTCTTTTATTTTCTCCCTTACTTTTTTCTCTTTCTCTCTTTCCCTCTCTCTATATCTTTTCCTTATTTTCTCACTTCCTTAAATCATATTTTCTCTTTTGCTCACTCTTACGCTTTTTCAGTTTCTCTCTATTTCTCCCTCTCTTTC